TTCTCCAAAAATGCAGCTCTTTTCAGGCACCTTCTCCATAAAGGTCACACTTGAGGAGAGCTGAGCCAGGAGCTTTATCCCTCTGTTTACCTTTCACCACACGTGTGTGGGGCAGGATTAGCGGCTGGGAATGCCTCTGCCCGAACACCGGGGGTGTGAAAATATTTGCATTTTTGTCCTGCTATTTGTCAACCTTCAGTGGGGCAGAACCATCTCAACAAGTTCAGTCACCTGAACTGAAAAGCCGTGGGGTTTTTCATCCCAAGCACGGCCCCAAGATGTTTCCAGGTGTTTTTTAGCCCCAAACCTGAGCTGAAGCACAGAAAAGCATCGCTGGCTGGGCTGGGGTGGCCGATGCTCTGCCTCAGCAGGTTTGTACAGAAAATAGGGGCTGATTTGGAAGCTCCAGACAGAGCTATAAAAGCCCACGGCAGCCAGTTCTGCAGAGCCGGGCCCCGGGGGAAATCTCCTGGCTGCAGGCGGTGAGGAGCTGCCTGGCAGTGCTTATATCCGTATATATATTAATCCCAGCTAATGTAACTACAGATGTTCTCATTCAGAGCCCTATCTAATCCTGTTGGGCCCTTGCCATGGTGTCTCGTAGCAGGAGTTCTACGAGTTAATTACGTGCGGTGCAAAGCAGCGTTTCCTTTTATCATTGAAAAGGTTGCCTTTTCAACGCCCTCAATGTCCCTTTGTTGCTGGGCTTTAAGGACCAGTGAAGAGGAGCACCTGTCTGACCTTCCCGGCGCTGTGCATTGCTTGGCAGCCCTCCACCGTCTCTTGGCAAGGCGTTCCGAATCTTTTCCGTGGGTGCTCTCTGTGCCTTTCACTCCGGCTCCCAGCTGAGGACGTGCTATTGATTTCTATAGTGCCCTGATATGAATTCAGAGTTTCTCTCTCCCTCTTTCACAGCACAGCCTCCCATCTTGTGGCTCTTCTGAGCTCCGCTGCAATCAGCCAGATGTTTCATTGACTCTCAGATCTTTTCCTGGAGTGGATGCTGTTAATTGGGACCCTTCAGCGTGGATGAGCCATCCTGTTCCCTCCTAACAATTATGGCTCTTTCTGCACTCCGGATTTTGGCTGCTCTCCCCTCATCCACTCGGCCACTCTGGGTCTGTCTCGCAAAGAGCGATGTGGTCTCCTCACATCTGGAGCAGCCAAGCTCAAGGTGCTCACCTGGGAATGCTCTCAGCTCCCTGCTTTCCAGGCCATGGTTACTTTATAGGGAAAATGACTGCTGGGAGCAGAGGCACTCCCACTGCTGCCCTCCTTGCCTGTTAAAGCCTCCCCACAGATTCCTGCTCCTTGTTTTCTCCTTTCAACCAAAAAATAACTTCGTTTTTCACTAGAAATTCCTGGTCACCTCTGCCACAGACACTCAGCATAAATTTTTCTTCAAGGTTTTCTGAATAGAATGAAATCCTGAGAGTTGTTTCCCTTCCCCCGGTGCTCTGTGCACTGACAGAGTGCAGACACGCCTTTTTCTTGCTCCAGCATCACCCCGTTGGCTTCTCACCGTACCCTCTGTGGGGCGATCCTTCCAAGCAAGGCATGAGGAAAAGCCTCATGTGTTACCCTCCTTATCATCTCCAGGATGTCCCAGCCACTCCTGCCCTGACCACCTCAGCTCTGGTGAGGGCTCCACTCAGTGCAGGGCGCTGCTGAATTTCTGCTCCTCGGTGAACAAATCCAGGCGTTCTTGCAGCCAGGGCAGTTGAGGGATGAGATTCAGGGAAGTTCAGGAGTGCAGATGTGTTCTGTGAGTCCCGAGGTGCCCATGGGAAAGGCAGCGGCGATGCCAAAGGGGCGTTTGCACCAATCATCCCCGCTCTGGCATCCCGGGGCAGACTCCCCTCGGTTCGGGGTTACAGCCCAAAGGAATTTGAACTGGATTGGAAAAATCAGCATCAAGCACCAGCAGCCCGGCCCTCCACGGCTGGGGAAGGAGAAGAGCCTGTAATTGCTGGCTGCAAGTGTTTGCACTGGCCGGGGAACTGTAAATTACCTTTAATTGCTCCTAATTGCTGGCGCCGGTTCAGCTTCTGGAGGACAGGGACAGCAAAGGCACATCTGCAGCCGCTGCCGGGAGCGCCGAGCCGCTGCTGAGTCCGGGCTTTTGGGAAGACAGCAAGGCAGAGCGGGCTGGGGCCCCAGGGGACGCTGACACTGCGGTCCCTGCACACACACAGAGTTTTCCCCACCGTGTGGCAGAGATGGGCCGGGATCCCATCCCGGTGAAATCCCGGCCCGCGGAGTCCCGGAGCCTCTGGGCACATCACACACGGGGACATCAGATCCTCACAGGAGCCCGGCTGGGAGAGAGGAGACAGCCTCGGAGAGATTCGGCTGTAAAAACAACCCCGGCGGCTCCGGCCGGGCTGTGCCGAGCCGCTGCCTCATGCGGGAAGGGAGCACCGCGATTTATTTATGTGCTGCCCAAAGAGCGCTCCGTGCTCTCAGCCCGGCCTCCAAGAGCCCGAGTCTGGGGATCTTACTTGTTGCACTGTTTTAGGGACGGCGAGAAGCACGACATGACTCTCTCAGCTGCATTGTCCAAGAGGGCAAAGTTTATTAATTTTAATCTTCTTTTATAGATGGGTTTGAGAAGGTCCGAGAGGTGAAACCCTCATTGGTCATTAAAACAACACATCACCATCATTGCTTAGGCTGAACACCACCCCTTGATTGTTTCCCAAACAACACCTGCTAAGATTGTCGTCCTTTACCAAGGGCTGTTTGGATTCTTTCTCATGCTTTCTCAGGCCAGAGTGAGAAGCCTGTGTGACTTAGTTTCACACAGGCTCTGTTCCCTGCTTGCTTTTTGCATTTAGTATCCACACTTACTCATCACCAGGTCTTTTTTCCCCTCTTTTCCCTCTCTCATCCAAGCGGTCCCACTGAAATGAGGGCGATCCACTCACATGGGAGAATCCTCTGGGCTCTGCAGGGAATGCCCGGAGCAGCCCCAGGGGGGACACCTGAAACATGAGGGTGTTCCTCCCCATCCTCCTGCCCTTTGCCTCTTCTTGGGTAACCCTTCCCTGATTTGCTTATTTTTGTATTAACTCCTGACCCTCTGCTCTTTAACTTTTTCCTGTTCCTCCTTCAGGCCTTCATGTTTATTTCCTTTCCCCCAGAATTACCTGAGCCAACCCTTGGGGCTGCAGCCTGAAGGTTTTCCCACCTAAGCATCCCTCTGCTCATCACCAGCCACGCTGTTTCATGTTAAAACATTTCCAATTGAAATTAGTTTTAGAAAAGGAGATTTCAGCTTTGGGCAGGTTTGCAAGCAGCCGTTTCCCAGGGGGAGCTCAGGGTAGGGGGGAGAGAGGGACATTTAATCAAAACCCCCAAATCAGAATTGTTAGGAAAAGAGCAGAAAAGGAACAAAAGCTTTGTTGTTTTCTTGAGAGTTTTTTTTTTCCCCCTCTCATGTGAAAAATCATTGGGTTTTGGCAAGGCTCTGTCTCTTCCCAACCAGCACCAGCGGGGTCAGGGCTGGTGGCAGTTTGCTGGGCTCTGGGATGTCCCCAGGGAGAAACTGGACTGTGCAGGGGTGCTCCAGGCACCATCCAAACCCTGCTGGGCAGGGATCAGCCTGGGAGCTGCTGCCCAGTGAGGGTCAAACTGGGGGCTGCTGGTGCAGGGTGCAGGATCATGCTGGGGTGGCTTGGAGGGCAAACCAAACACCAAAACTTGGAAACCCAAAACCAGTGTGGGATGCAGTCTGCTGTCCCCAGGTGAGACAGATTGAGGGTGTTTGAGAGCCAGGGGGGTGCAGAACAAACCAAGCAGCACTGCAGGATCCAGGAAAAGCCCTCTTGGGAGCGACGTGCCCACTTTGGGGGCTTGGGGGCTTTGAAAGCACTGGTGCCCATGGGGTGCCCCCTCCAGGGCCCGGGCAGTGGGACACGTTTCCCCCAGGCCCAGCTGCTGGCAGGCAGCTCCCTTGAGGGGCAGGAGGAGAGCGGGATCAGTGCCCCCCAGGGAGGGATTTGGCTGGCTCCTTCCCGGGGATGCTGCAGAAGAAAAGGAAAGCTTTCCTTCCTGCCTGCCTGTCCCTGCCACCGCTCAGCAGGAGCAGCCCGCAGTCTGGCACGGCGCTTGTAGCTCTTAGAAATCAGGGCTGTTAACAAATGTGCGAGGCCGTAATCCTTTTGGAGCACTGATGATAACAAGCCCTGATGCTTTTTTTCTTTTTTTTTTTTTTTTTTTTTTTTTTTTTTTTTGCTTTTCTTCTTTTTGCCGTATTTTTTGTTTCTTTTGGGGTTTTTTTGTTTGGTTGGTTGGGTATTTTTTGTTTTTTGTTTTTTTAAATTTTTTTTCCCCAAACAGCTGCACCGGTAAAGTCCCACTGTGGGAAATGAGATGGTGAATGTTTTCAAGTGCGGTATTTACATCCCCTGCCAAACCCTTCACATCTGCCCAGCTCTGCTGTCAAGGCTGCATCCATCTGGCCGGGAACAGCAGGTCCTCCACCCCACAAGGGCATTTCCTTCCTGTGCCCGCGGTGCCAGCTGCCAGAGATGCTGCTCAGCGGGAAGGGCTCGAGAGAGAGCTCTGAAAGGACGGGTTTGATTTTTCCTGAGTGCACGTGAAATGAATTCCCAAGCTCTCTGCAAGCGATTGCTTCCTGCCGGAGCGGGGCGAGCCGAGGGGTGGTGGGACCGTGCTGGGTTTGTACCTCTGTACCAGCCCTGCCACCGCTCCCGGGAGCCCGGCGGGTTTGGAGCTGCTGCCCTGCCTTTAAATCCTGCGAACTCCCAGGATCAGTCACCGGCTGCACTTCTGTCCCTGTGACAGGGCCACCCCTTCTCCAGCGCTGTCCCCCAGCCCCGGTGCCAAATTCCAGCTGTTCCAGCTCATTCCCAGGCTTTGCCGAGCTGCCAGCGGCACAGGAGGTGGAGCCGTGCCGGGGGAGCTGCCCCGCTCCCCGCCGATGGCACACCGCCACCTGTGCCCTGCCCTGACCCTGCTGTCGTGTGTCCCCCCAGAGTGCGACTGTCACCCCGTGGGTGCCGCCGGCCAGACCTGCAACCAGACCACGGGCCAGTGTCCCTGCAAGGACGGCGTCACCGGCATCACCTGCAACCGCTGCGCCAAGGGCTACCAGCAGAGCCGCTCCCCCATCGCCCCCTGCATAAGTAGGTGGATCTTCTTTCCGCGTCTTTGGAGGAGAGGTTTTAACCCTTTAAACCCTGCCGGAGCCGCTGCCCAGGCTGGGGGGCTGCTGAACCCCACCGGCGCCCGGGGGCCGGAGCTGCCTGGGGACCCCGCCCTCCGCTCTGCCCAAACGTTGTCCAACATCCACAGCAGCTTCCAGCGGCTCACCTGCCCTGTCGGGGGGGTTCTGTGAGTGCATCTGAAGCCAAGCTTGCTGGGAATTCAATTTTGCATCATGGGACAGATGTGCCCCAAGAGCACTTTTATTTAGGGGTGCCACATCAGGGCTGGATGCTAAAGCAGGTTTTTCTCTCCAAAATCAGGCTGTGCTACCCTGGCACAGAGCTCATCAGAGGAGCTGCTCCTTTGATGGAGTTGCCGTCGCAGCTGAGAACAGCTGGATTGCTGAAAGGGCTCTTGCACTCACACAACCCTCCCAGAAACACGGGGGGGGGTTTACCTTTGGCTTCCCTGGGTTTGCTTTGCAATTCCCTTCCCAAGGCTGCTCTCACCCTCTGCTCTTGAAACAACAGCAGAAGCACCAAGTACAGCTCCCAAAATGCCTCCATTGCAGCATCTGCTCTGCAAACACCTGGATCCCCTCAGCCCCTCTGAGCTCTCACTGCCCAGCAAAGTTGGGGTTTAGCTCTGTGCCTCTCTCTGCTGCCTCTGGGTTTGCTGCTGTTGGATCTTCTCATGCTCATGCACCTTGTGGGACATCCCCACCTGCCCTAACAAACAAAGCACCAAAATCTGTGTGCCTGGGATGGGATGGGATGGGATGGGATGGGATGGGATGGGATGGGATGGGATGGGATGGGATGGGATGGGATGGGATGGGATGGGATGGAATGGGAAGGGATGGGAAGGAGGAACTGCTCCCCTAAGGAGTGATGCCCTGTTGCTAAAAGGAGGAAAAGTCCCAAAAAGAAAAGTGAAGGTTGAAAGAATCAAGCCTTTGTTGGGAACCCACAGTCTGCTCTCACACTGTTCCCCCTCTCAGCATGGCCATTGCCAAATTCTGGGGCAGAGACCCTTTCTCCACCATCTCCTGCTGAAGAAAACAGACATTCCAGGGTGGTTTGGGGTCACTTGAGATTCATTTTTCCCCATGTCGCAATGGGACAGTCAGAGCCCAAAGCAGATGCTTGTTGTCCCCAAGACCTCCAGCCGTGGCTCCAGTCTGCTCTGCAGCAAGTGTGCACAAAGGTTTATCATTAATCATTCCCCAGGGCCAGGGGAAATCAGAGAGTAAATTGTTCCTTGCATCAGCTCCCTCAGGATTCATGGCACTAAATAAAGACAGACCCAGGATTTCAACATGGCCCATCCAGGCTTTGGGGCTGGGCACAGTCACTCTCTGATTTACCACTGCTCATAATTCCCTGTTCCCAGAGACTTGTAGCCATGGAAAGAACACCTTGAGGGAAGGAGCGAGACCCCCGTGGGGTCTGGGTCAGGCCAGGCAGGAGCAGCCCCAGCTCCCACTTTGGGATGGCTGTGCTGGCTCTCAGTGCTGCCTGGCCACGCTCCGTGCCTTGTGCTGTGTTTAATTGCCCGAGGGTGAGTGACCCAGAGATCCCCCAATGCTGACTGGGCTGCACACGAGCTGCTGCCACACACCGCAGCAAACCCACCTTGGTGGCCATGCATTTCTCCAAGAACAGAAGCAGAAAGAGGCAGATGCCCTCTCCCAGCTCATGCCTAAATTCCACTTTCAAACAGGGCTGGTGGGATGTTCCCCCACAGAATGGCAGCACTGTGCCCTAAATGCAGGAAGCACATCCAAGGGGAGAATCCTGCAAAGCCAGGACCGTACAGCTCCCTCCATCCACAGTCCATCCTCTCAACAAACACAGCCAGGCCTGGGAAGGAATATCCAGAGTATGATGTGGATTCAGCTCTGCAAAGCTGGCCCCAAATCAGAGCCAGGGACCAGGGAATTTGCACCAGATGTGTTTGCGTTTCCTCAAAATGTGGGAGGCAGCGCTTGCATCCCAGCAGAGCCACAGCCTGTACCTGCACCCTGCCTCAGGCACCAGCACTGCCTGGGTGACAGCAGCTGGAGGGGACACTCAGGGGCAGACAGTGACCACAGGGGCTGGGCACAGTGCAGCACGCATCCAAAAGCCAAAGTTTTGGTTAAAAACCCCCTTTGTGACAGCCTCGAGGGACGCCTGGTTCCCCAGCTCCCGGTGCACTGCTCGGGGGGCTCTTGCTGGGGCTCGTAGCTGGGAGCCCTCCTCGCAGGCAGACATGGCTGGGAAGGGAACCTGCAGCGTGTGCAGGGGCCAGGCTCTTTGGGGTTTGGAATGATTCCTCCTCCTTTTGTCTCCTCTCTGTTGCCGTGTGGCCCTGGCTGTCCTGCAGAGATCCCGGCTGCTCCACCCACCACGGCCGCCAGCAGCGCGGAGGAGCCCGCAGGTACGTTCTCTTCTTTTGGAGCTAAACCTCAGTACTAAAATTCTCTTCAGCAATCATTTCCCTCGAGATAAATTACACCAAAGGCATAAATCCTGTTGTTTGTACCGGGACAATTGGTTTCCTTCTATGCCCAAATGTGCTGGAAACACACGTGCAGCATCCTGAGGTTGGTGTTCCTCAAGGGCACGGAAGGTGCAGGAGGATTTCCCGCTGAATCTGTGAGCACAGAGGGTTACCCAGGGTTGGAACCACAGCTGTCCCCCCCAGAGGGACCCCTGCTCCCATTTCCCTCGTGTTGGAGGGCTCTGACCAGGGGATGACAGCAGGAGCCAGAGGTCCCAGGAAAGGCTGACGTGTCCTGGGCTGCTGCCTGGAGGTCCCTGGGGTGTTTGAGCCCCAGCTGTGAAGACATGAGGTGTAAAAGCTGTTTACTTTTGTCTCAGCGGTGCAGGAGGGTTCATTAATTAAGGAGTACTAAAAGTGATGGATGTCACCTTGGATTGATCCCTGAGCCAAGTGGCAGGGATTGACACCCTGTGTGCTCAGGAGCAGTCCCTGGGTGGGAAACCCAGGCAGCAAAGGGACACCTTCAGTCCCCAGTGTCACAGGAAGGTTGATCCCAGCAGCATCCGTGGGACTGATTTCAGGGACTGGTTTTACCCCATGCAAACACATCTGCACCCCTGCCACTGGAGAGGGGCTGTTTTGGGATCTAAAACCCAGCTGAGTTTGCATAAAGCCAAAACCAGAATCATCCCAGCAGAGTTAGAGCCCTTCCTTAGCCGAGGAGCCCTGGCTGGAGGCTGGGAGAGGGTTATCCATGGTGTGGGAGTGATGAGAAATGCCTGGACAGTGCCTTGTGGATGCCTGTGTCCCTGGAGGGCCAGATGCCCCCATTCCCTGCCCAGAGGGGTGACCAGGGACCAGGGCATCCCACCAGGAGCCTCTGGTGCCAGTGAAAACCCAGTGAAGGCTGAGCCAAGCTGAGCAATCCAACAGGCCCAGAATCCCACCATGATTCTTCTCACTGGGATTTTATTGGAGTTTCTAAGCACTGCTCTGTCCAAGGAGCCTGAATTCTCTGTATTTCATCCCTTTTCCTCAACAGGGAGCATCCAGCAGTGCTGTGTCTTGGCATCTCTCAGCTCCCCCCTCCACCCTACTGAAATCTGGGGGGTTTTTAACAAATCCCTAAATCAGTGTCCATGAGCCAGAGCTCCCATGCTATGGGAGAAAAAGGGTTTGGAAATAAGATGGAGAAAGCAATTATGGGGAGATTCTGAGTGCAGGCAATTGTGGGAGAGGTGCTGCTCCCTTTCCTGTGCTCATGGCCACGTGGGACAGAAAGTGGCCGAGAGCTCAGGGAGCATCACCCCAACCTGGAGCATTGCACAGGAGCACGGGCCAAAGCTGGCCTTGGAACAAGGGGTGGGACAATGTCAGCTCTGCTGTGGGGGGTCCTGCCTGGCTCTGCTTACTCTCAGGGGTCCCAATCAGTTTGGGAAAACGGGCCAAAACTGGATTGTTTAGATGAAATGCATTCATGCTCTCCCATGCCAGGAGATTGGAGGATGAGGAAGGGCTGCTCCTCATTTTTGCTGCCAGGCAAGAGGAGCTCTTCTGGTCCTTTTTTGGTCCCTCTTAGACGGAAGAGACCACAGTGAAAGGGAAAACAAAAATAGCACAGGGGGGGTGAAGGTTTACAAACCTGCCAGTCAGGCCTTGTCTTATCTGAATCAAATCCAGATTTTCTGGGGAATTATTATCTGAGGTGGATGATTTCAGCCAGTGGGCTTAAATAAAACCAGGTGATTGCATTGATGCAGCTCCCCACGGTTTTCCCCTGGAACAGGGCTCAGCCTCCTCCCCAAAGGGCTCCTGGCTGGAGCACAGGCTTCTCTTCTTGGTGAGGATGCTCCCAAATCCAGGGCTGGGAGGAATTTGCGCTGGTGGGGAGAAAAGCCCGAGCCCTTGGCTGTGGGGAAGTGTCAGCCCTGTGGAGAGCCGGGAGCATCCCAGAGCCTGGGAACAAAGCGCTGCCCAGCTCCCTGCGGTGCGGTCGGGAGGGGAAATCATCATTTCATTCACCCTGGGGTAAATCTGGGCTCAGCCTGCGAGTCTCCAGCTTTGTGCCCGTCCAAAGGAGGAATTCATTCAGCCCTGCCCGGGCTTTCTCTGCCTTGTCCCAGCTGTAAGTGAGGTGATGGATTGACTGCGTGATTGATTGACTGATTGATCAGCAGCATCCAGCTCCCTCTGAAAGGTTTCTCACGGTGATCCCCGGTGAATGGCTGGGAGCACAATAGGGGAGAGGGGCATCCAGCGAGGGAGCTCCTGGTCACTTCAAAATAGCTCCAAAAGTCTGAAGGAAAAAACCTCCAACAACCCCCCCAAAACCGCTGAAATGCAGATAAGCTCCATGCACGAGGGCAGCGTGCTCTTATCATCTCAGTGCAGGGCTTCCTGCAGCCCCACATCCATTCATTCCCCCATCCCTGCATCCCTCCACCTCCAAATTCCTGCATTCCTCCAACCCCATATCCCTGCACCCGGTTTCCTCCACCCCAAACCCCTCCATTCTTCCACCCCCTTATTCTTTTGTCCCCATATCCCTTAATCCCTGCGAGCTTTTATCCCCACATCCCTCTATTCCTCCATCCTCACTTCCCTGCAGCTGATTCCCTCCAGCCCAGATCCCTCTGTTCTTCCATTCCCACATTCTTTCATCCCCGTATCCCTCCATCCCTGCAACCCTTTATCCCCACATCCCACCATAGCCAAGACTCGAGCTTCAGAGTCAGGACTGACAAGCTCCCTCTCCCCATCCTGGGACATTTCCAGAGGCTGATTCCCCCTGGTTACACAAGCTCTCGTCCCCAGTCCCCAGCACCAGATCCCTGTTTCCCCGAACAGAAAACTGATTTTCCTGCTAGGCTGGGAGCTGCTCAGGCAGGAATGTATGGGGTGCTGGGCTCCCGAGGACAGATGTTTTCCTAGGAATGTATTTCACGGCGTTGGCAGTGGATCTTGGCAGGGCACCCCTGGATCTGTCCCCAGCGTGTTCTGGGGCTCGACACTGGGAGAAATCCTGTGGGAAGGGATAGGAAATGTGCAGCCAGCCCTGGCTGCTCCCGGGAGAGGGCTGAGCAGGGGGCAGAGGTGGTGTGGAAGAGCTGTAAAACTCCGAGTTGGTGTGGAGTTTTCTTCCAGTGAGGTGTTTTCCGGTTCACTGTTGGTTTCCAGTGCGGTGTTCCCACCGCAGGCTTTTCCCGTGCAGTGTTTCCAGTGGGTGCCCGGCACAACTGGACTGTCCCCATTGTGACACCAGCAGCCATCGCCTGCCTCCTGCTCCCTTTAGATCCGGGAGAATTGGGATGCGGCTGCTGAGGCCACAGCTGCTGTGGGCACGCCTGTCCTGGAAGAGCAGAAATCCCCATCCCCAAAGGGCAGCAGGAGGCGGGGAGCGAATCCCCCCGAGCTGCAGCGGGGCCGGGCCGTGCCTGGGGTGCTTCCCTCTGACCGTGCCCGGAGCTCCCAGGGATGGAGCCACGGCTGCTGCTCCAGGACATTCCCGGGATGTGGGGAGACAGCCCGCTCGCATCCTGGGGGCGCTGGGGTCCCGCTGGGGCTGCGGAGGTGGGCAGGGGCTGCGGGCTCCCGGGAATCCCTCGCTGCCGCTTTCCAGCCGCTCCAGGCGAGAGGCTTTAATCTAATTACATGCTTTATTTGCGCCAATTTGTTTTTCAATCAATCTTGCTCAGCCAGAAGAAAGGAGGCTACTGCGGGCTCATTTGCACCTTCTTGTTCCAAGGGAGAGGTTAATGGCCGCTCTCCGCTGGGGTCTGCGCTGCCTGCCCGAGAGCTCCGGGCCCTTCTCCGGGGGCACAGCAGCCGCTTCCCGCTGGGCACGGAGCACCGGGGCTCTGGGACACGCTGCTCTTCTGGAGCCGCGGCATCCTGCGCGAAAGGTTTTGCGTACGGGGATTGCAGTGGGCTCCCAGGGGAAGGCTGGGTCTGCAAAGCACCAAAACAAGCAAATAAATAAGCGTGGAAGTTACTCCTCCCGCTTTTCCTGCCCTGCCGGCGAGTGGCACAGTTCAGAGCCGGGGTGGCTGTGCCCGGCACAGGGCAGGGCTGGCCTCGGTGCCCCCCACTCTCTTGTGCGGGTGCCAAGGGCTCCTCAGCCTGCTCTGGAGAGCAGAGGATGCTCTGATGCTCGGCAGGTGCCTCTGCCTTGACAGACTGGTGACAGACCCACCTCAGCTGGTGGGACAAAGCCCTGCCAGCTCCTGGGCACTGCTGCTCCCAGCTGGGAGGTGACCAATGACAGAGCACCCGGTTAATACCACCCAGTGCCAGAACCTTGCTGTGCACCCAGGCTTGGCACAGACCCTCTGGGGGCAGATCCAGGCCCCTGGAGTCCCCTGTCACACCTGGGCACCATCCTCTAGATAACACAGCAGGCACGGCTGGAGCAGCCCAGCCCCAGCTCATCCCAGCTCCAAGGCTTGGAAGGGATGTGCCTCCCTGTTCCAGCTCCTGGCCATGCTGGGGGAATGGCCATGGCCACCCTGCTGGGGACACCAGCTGTCCTGCAGCTGGCCAGGGATGAAGGGCACTAATTTGCACATGATAATTACAAAGGGCGTCGTGTGGGACAGCTGGGCCATGGCCAGGTGAGAGGAGAAGAGCCAATTAGTGATAACAGACCCAGTTCTGTGATAACAGACACAGTTCTGTGATAACAAACCCAGTTCTGTGATAACAAACCCCTGTCCACTCAGTGGCCAGACAAGGCTGCAGCAAAGCACGGGACAAGCGATGCCACTGCTGAAATTAATAACCTGGGAAGGATTCTCTGCCTTAGCTTTGCTATTTTATTAAACCTCCTTTATGTTAAAGCAGCCAGCTCTGAGACAGAGACTCAGACAGTCTCTGTCTCAGACAGCCGAGTCCTGCACCAGTTAAATGACAGCTGTGATCCCTCGCAGTCACTGTGTGCCCTGTGAGCCAGACATGCAGTCCCCACGCTTGTCCCACAGGGATGGTCCCATCTCCATGCTTCCTGGGAAAGGAGAGGATCCAGAGCATTCCCTCCCCGAGGACGTGTGGTCAGCAAGGCCCAGAGCCAGCAGCTTGGAGCAAGCAGAGCTGGAGCTCTCCAAATGACTCCAACAGTCCTTCCCTGGCACTGATGGAGGTGGTAAAATAATTCCTTGGAATGGAAGCAGGGGCAGCTTCAGTACTGTGGGAAGTGAACCAGGAGTTCATGGTCATCGGGGGAAATCTCTCCTGAGAGCCAAAGGCATCCCTGGCAGGACTGCCACAGGACCATCCTCTCCTCTCCTCTCCCAGTGCTGTGTCCCTTGGGAACGTGGCAAATCAAAGCAGCCCCACTGATCTGCCCTGACCCACTCTGGGGGTGTGTGGGACCCCAGGCAGACCCCACTCCTGTTCTCTCAGTCCTGCTCTCTCTGGTAAAGGAATCAAGGATTTAGGACTTGATATTTGGAGCTGCACCTACACTTGGTGGCTCAATCTGGTTGCACATTCTCCCTGGTGACAACAGGAGATGGGGACACCCCAACCCCACCCACAGAGCCCCCAGGGAGCAGAACCCCTGGGAGGGAGGGCAGGAAAATGTCCCTCAGCCCCAAGTGCTGGGATCAGGCTGTCAGGGCTGGGGCTCTGCTCCTAAGCCACAACACCTCCACTTTGGATCGCAGCCCACAAAGGCATTTAGGGCCTTACCTGGGGGAAATCAATAGGAATTTAGCTGCATAAATTTGGATTAGAAATCTGAATCCCCTTGGGGATCTAAGCCTTATATCTGCATTTCCAGTTAGGTACCCAGGCCAAGAAATGTGGCTTTAATCGCTCTATCATGTCAGAATCAAGGGGCCTTTAATTTCCGTTCCCGACATGTGGCTTTTGCAGCGGCTCAAAGCTGATTTTGGAGCTGCAAGCGCAGCAAGAGGCGCCTGGTGCAGGATCTTCCCTGCAACAACACTCAGCACCCCCAGCCCTGCTGCCAGCACCTCCTCCCTGCACTGCCCTGGGAGCAGCACTCCGGGAAGGGCAGGATCCTTGAACAAACCACGGGATGACCACTCAGCACCTCGTAGCTCTCAGCCTCACCACAGTGACCCCAGACACCTCCCAAACTGAGGATGTTTAAACAGGAAAAAAATTAAACTTTCTGAAAAAAAAAAAAAAAAAAAAAAGAATTAAGCAAAACAAAGAAGGTGTTTAGCTGTGAAAAGTCTCTGCCCAGCCAGAGAATTAGTTCTATCAAGGGGATGGGCTGAGCTGCAAAGCTGCTGAAGGCTGTGCTGACACGTTTTACTGAGCTGCGAGCGACACGAAGCAGCCGCCTGCCACCTGCTCCCCTCGAGCTCCAGCGGCCGCTCCCCGCTGCTGCTCCCCCAGGCTGACACAAAACCCACCGGGGCTGCCTGGGCTCGTGGCTCTGAAACAGGCGTTTGGGATATTTATGCAGCTGAGAAAACTCGGGGAGGGCCAGGAGCAGGGGCTTGGATGTCACCGGGGGTGTTGGGTGCTTGGGACCGGGCTGAGAGGGGCTCAGGGAGATCCCGGCTCTGTTGAGGGCAGCCGAGCCCTGCCAGGCCAGGAGGACAGGCAGGGTGAGCAGGGGACACTTGTGCAGCACAGGGGGACAGGGAGCTGGGGCTGAGCCCATCCTGCTGCCCCATCACTCCTGCAGGACAGGAGCTGGACACTGTCCCCATGCAGGGGTGTCCTTCAGGCAGCTCTGTGAGCTCTCAGCCCGCTTTGTGGCTGGGCTGTGGCCACAACGTCATCCCAGGCTGATCCTCTGCAGCCTCGTAGAGAGGGGCAAGAAGGACCTGCAGTACAAAGTCTTGGGACTCCAGAGATTTGTCACATGAACACTTGGGGATAAATTTTGCACGAGTCTCACATCATTTGTGTCTCCTGTGCATCCCCACGAGTCACTGAGCCACACATCCACCCTCCCCTCCCCTTGCCACAGGCTGATCCTTCCTCCCATCCCTTCTCCAGCTCCACCATCCCTTTTCAGCAAGGAGCAGCAGCTCAGCAAAGCTTCCCCAGAGCGCTGAAGAGTCACTCGGTGAGGAGAGCAGGGTCTGTCCCTGGCAGCACTGACACACCATCCTGCAGCATCCCCTCCGAGCACTGTCCCGAGGGGCAGCACCACCCCACACACACAGAGCTCAATGCCTGGCTCACAGAAATCCCATTTGCCCTCCCAAAGAGGCCCCAGAGGATCTCCAAGTCACCCAGGAGGCAGAAGAGCTCTCCACGAGGGAGACAAAGGAAATGAACCAGAGCAAATCCCCCACCCACGGCAACCAGCGCTGGCATCTGGTGATTCCCAGTGATTTACACCAGCTGGCTCTGGCCAGGCCGCTTCAATTCAAACCAGCTGAGGCTCTGGCACAGCCCGTGGAGCTGGGGAATGAGGGGAAGGACAGGGCAGGGTTGTGTTTAGGCAAAGTAGGGTCAGCCGTGGATCTGGCAGAGCCCCAGGCTGCCACCCTGGGAGAAGCAGAGGCTGTGGGTGCTGCCCTGCAGGGTGTGGGGGTAGCTGGGTGCTGTGCCATCACCCCGCAGCCTGGCAAACAGCCCTGGTGGGCTCCCAGTGGGTCTGTAATCCCAGGTAGAATAGGATTTCCGTGGCAGCGGTGCAGGGATGGGAGCTTAGCTGCAGTCAGGGATGTTTCTGTGGGGAGAGGTTGCTGAGGTGACTTGAGGTAGCTCTTGTGAGGCTTCTGGACTGGAATCCAGAGTAGTGATGTCTCTGGTTGCTGCTTTTTGGGCTGGATCCCAGCAGGAGTGGGGCTGCAGGAGGACCTGCTGCAGGTGTGCTCTGCCAGCCTGGCTGCTGCAGATCCCCTGTGGGGCTGAACCATCAATGTGCAGGTGGGAGCCACTGCCCAGCCCCGCTGCTTGGGGCCAGCTGCTGGCCAGCGTGCCCTGGATGTGGCCAGGGCAGGAGGGATGTGCAGCCAGAGCATCCAGGCTCATCCCTGCAGGTGCTCACTGCCCACCTGTCCTTGTGTCACCTCTCGTTCTGCCCAGGGGCCGAGGTGTGAACATCCACAGAGCTCCAGGATTTCTGTGCCAGGGAGAGCCAGCAGCAGCTTGATCACACCCCCACTGGTGTGCCGAGGACATCAGCAGCCCAGCAGAGCAGCCGATGGCCTGTCTGTCCCCTGGCATTCCCTGCTCTCCCAAAAAGCACAGGGGAAGCTTCCCCGGGCTCTTAGGTCACTGCACAGACATTCAGCTCCCTTAGAGACTTTTCCCTCAAGGTTTATGGCCAGGAACATCTTACCAGTCCCTTGGATCAGGAATGTTTCTGCTCCCTGAGCTCAGTGACACCAGGCAGCCACGTCCTGTGTGGTGGCATCCTGCCCCCTCCTGCCCCTGGCTGGGGCTCTGCTAGCATATCTCCATCCACTCAGCTACTGACGGAATATCCACACCTTTCTCAGTGTGTTTCCAGTTTTACTCCATGTTCAGAAATGTTAAATGAGAAAAACAAACGGGAGGAGGCATCAGTGGCTGGAAGCCCTCAGCCATCAGGGTTTGGAGGGCCCTTGGCTGGGTTGCAGCTGGGCACAGATCTCAGCTGGGGCTCTTGCAGGAGGAAGATCACAGTGCTTGGGTTTGGCCCTGGCTGGGTCCTGCTGGAAGAGCAGGAAGCCTGGATTTCCTGAGGGTGTCTCCTGAGGAGTGGGAGCAGCAGGGAGCCATGGGCTCAGACGGGGACTCTGCATGGCCACGTTGAGAGGGGCTGGGGCACACATGGCTTACAGGAGTTGGTGCTAAGGGGGTTCCTCAAGGTCTTGGCACCCAGTGTGAGCTGGCCATGGGATGCCAGCAGCATTCCCACCTTCCCGACCACCCCGGGGGCCGTGCTGGGACATTCCAGCAGGTTCACACCTGTGCTCCAGCAGAGACTGGGGAAGGACAGTGCTGGGAGAGATGGAGGCCTCCAAGGGCTGGCATTTGTCCCAGGGCCTCCTGCTGCAGACAGATGTGTCCTTCCTCCTTGCACCAGGGGATCCTGTGCTGCTGGGGCGCCTCTGGCACTGTGGGTGCTGAGGAGCCATGGATGTGCCTGGGCAGCACAGGGGGAGCCCACCCCGATCCTGGCAGCTGGCGTGGGATGGCTGCTCTGGTGCCACGGGGACGTTCCTGGTGGTGGCTGGAGGACACTGCCCACCTGCTGCAGGGGCAGTCGCTCCCAGGGTGGGGCTGGGTGTCCCCACGGGCTCCATCCAGGGCCGTGCCCGTGGCCCATGGCCCATGGCCCGTGGCCAGCGGCGGTGGCGGTGCCAGGGGGCCGTGCCAGGCTCCCGCCGGCCGCCCGGGCCAGGCCGGCGTGTCCCAGCAGTGGGGGCCCATTAGAAATGAAATGTTCCTACTGGGGTATTTTATTTGCACACTTCAGTAGAGTGGACACCAAAAGGCTTTGCTAATGCTTCATGGGCTGCTAATTTCCTCTCTGACCCGCATTGTGGCGGGGTGACCCTAGCCCGAATCTCTCGGCAATGAATGCCAAAGGCTGACACCGGCCCGGGTTAGGGGTGACAATGGGGCCTCTGTGGGCTCCGGGCAGGCTCCAGTTGGGAGCTGGAGAACAGGGGGAATTTGTGTGGCTCTCAAAAGCTCTGTGTGGCACAATAAGGGAGGCCCCCGGGGTCTCCCAGGAAGACAGAGGCGGCCGGGGAAGCCGGGCCGGGGGAGGTGGAGGGAGGATGGGCTCCTTTGTGAGCAGCTTTCTTTAGAAAGGAAGGGCTTTCTCAATGCCCCCTCCGACGACCCAATCGGGGCCTGGCAGATGGATATCACAGGCACGCTGCTTATTCATGGCAAGCTGCAGCTTTCAGCCGGCCCCCCCTTCCCCCAGCGCTTTCTTCATTTTAAGGCTAATTTGTTTTGTTAATGTTTTCTTGCCCTCCCCCTCTCTCGGCGCAGACTGTGACTCGTACTGCAAAGCCTCCAAGGGGAAGCTGAAGATCAACATGAAGAAGTACTGTAAGAAAGACTATGGTGAGTGTCCCCTCCCCGAGGGACGAGCGTGCCAAAGGGGTGCGGGGCAGGAGCATCCCCGGGGGTGTCCCCAGGCCCAGCCAGGCACAGCCCTGCAGCTTTGGGAATGGCTTTTGCCAGCTTTGGACAGGCAGCAGTGCCGTGTGTCACTTGGGAAACTGGGATGAGCACTCTGTGGACCCTGAGCTGGGTCTGAAAAGACTCATCTTTTCCAAGCGGTTTCCAGCATCTTCTGGGTTACGATGACACCATGTTCCCTCACCTCTCACTGTGCTGTTACGTGACACAGCTTTTAAATATTTTAAAATATTTACAATATTTTTTGCTGTGGGAGTGAGCAGCAAGCAGTCTCCTGTCACCTGGATCCAATCCCCCCATAATTCCCAGGAGACTTCAGAGGGTGGTACAGCCCTGGCACAGCTCACACATGGATGTCTTGGAGGTTTGGGTGTTGCACTTGGATCTGTTGGAGGTTTGGGTGTCACACTCGGATCCATTGGAGGTTTGGGTGTCACATTTGGATCCATTGGAGGTTTGGGTGACACACTCGGATCCATTGGAGGTTTGGGTGACACACTTGGATCTGTTGGAGGTTTGGGTAACTCTCACATTTGGATTTGTTGGAGGTTTGGGTGCCACACTTGGTTTTGTTTAAGGCTGCCCTGTGGGCTCCAGCAGACCCTGGGGAGGTGTGGGTGGCTCCAGAGGTGTCCCAGGCAGGGAGCAGTCAGCAGGGAAGAGATGCCGCTGGAGCGGTGATTAGGGGAGCTGCAAAGAGCTTTTCCTTCTCTTTTCTCACTCGGCATCACTTGTGCAGCCTCCCCAGTGAGCCAGAGCCGATTGCTGGGGCTGGCTCAGCTGCGGGGACACTGTCCCAGTGCTGCCCCCGGGGTGCTCCCACCCGACCCTCCTGGCCATGGAAGGGTCCCCCAAAGCCAGGGCAAATTCGTGTTTTGAGGACAAACCAGGGCGGTGAGGCAGCGGGGTGAGCGATGCCGGGGCAGCCCAGGCTTGCAGCAGGGCCAGGGAGGGAAGAAAGGGTTGAAAAGGTGCAGGGAGGGATAATAAAGACTTTGGGACTGACACCCCAGCAGGAAGCCAATTAGGAGGCTCTTTTCCTCACCGTTCTGCTGGCATCGCTGGGCTGAATGTCCTAAAAGGCCCTAATTAGCTTGAACAGAGTTCCTTCTCCCGCGGGCTCAATCGGGAGCTATCATCCGCCCCGCGCTCCTCAATGGGGCTTTTTAGCTCCCCGCTTCATTCAGCCTTTCAAAGGGGATATTTTCCCTTATTTATTTTTCGTATCTGTTTGTTTTTGTCGGGTTTGTGGTGTGGTTTTTTTTTCTTTTTATTTTAATTTGGGCTTTTTTTCCCCCGCGAGATGGGTTTGGGTGCAAATATTTGGAGTGAAACAGAAGGAGGGGAAGGCAAGCCGGGAGATCCAGGGACGGGGGGAGGCAGGAACAGAGGCAGAAAAGCTTTTTCTGGGTTTATTTTGGCTGCGTGGGGGAGCGCAGGGCCACTCAGCTCCCAGAAAAGCAGGGAGAGAGGAAGGGTTTGCTGGGGTGGGGGCAATTAAATCCCGGGAAAGCAAAAGGGATTCTGGCTGAAGCCACTGAGCGTGGAGAGTCCCAAAAGGAGAGGGGATTTGATGAGAGCAGGTGATGATGATCCGGGTGAGGTGTGAACATCCTTTACCCCCTCAGGCACCACATTTTCCTCTCGATTTTGGGGATCTTTCCGCTCTCTGTGGGGTGTGACTTTGGTTGAGGAAACCTGGAGCTTTTCCTTCTCCGTTTTGCCGCTGATTCTGAGCTGCCTGTGCTGCAGCAGGGCCCGGTCCTGCATGGATGATGCTGGCACATTTTTGTACCAGCACTGTGGTCCCAGGCATCGCTCCCATGTCGGCCCTGCATCCCCATCCCAGCACTGGGGAGGGAACAGAATCCTCATCCGAAAGGTGAGATCATCTGCTCACTTTGCCCTTTCTTGGAAAAAAAAAGTTAAAAAATCCTTCCTTCAGTGGAGCCTTCTCTTAGTCACCCCCTTTGTCGAGAGGAGCTTGGCAGGGGCTGCTGGAAAAAAGCAAAACGTGTTTTCAAAAGGCAGCTTGAAAAGCGGGAGGGAGGGGGGAGAAAAAACCTGAATCCCAAAAAAAAGCTGAGGCAGGGGGGAAGCACCAACCCTGGCACTCGCAGCCCCTTCCACTGCTTGGAAGGTGGAGAAATCCCATCCCTGGAGCTGAGCAATCCCTGCTGGAGCCACGTGCTGAGGGAGAGAGCTGGGGCAGTGAGGGGTCCCCCAGCAGCAGGGCACACCCAGGGATTAGGGATCATAAATCTCCAATATTAAACCAGTAGGAAATTGGCAACTGGAGCGAGGCAAAGCCGCTGCCAAACAAATTAAAAACTGAAAAAAAGGGGGGGAAAAGAATTTCACATTTTAGCACTTTGCTCCAGCGAGGAGACAGCCCTTTACATTCCCAAACCCAGATGGTGTCGGGGTCACCTTTTGCTGTTGGTTGGAATAAAATCCACATGGACTGCACTCCACTTGTGCAGTGAGAGGGGAGCCAAGCCTTTGGAAACCCCTGCCTTGCACTGGGACATCTGCGCCTGCCACCGCTGTCCCCAGCACCCCCTTCCACCTGGCCATATTAAATACCCTCAAACTGCTCTGTTCCCACTGCCACTCCTTGGGCTCTTTCCCAGGGGCCAGCACTGTGATGGTCCCCAGATCTGCAGCTCCCACAGACAGGTCTGTGCATGGGGTATGTGTGAAATTCCAGGATTCCACAAGAGGATGCACAGATTTGGCCCTGCAGCCCAGCCCTGAGTCAGCCTTAGCAGGGGAAGCCTTGAACTCAGGAGATTTATCACAAACCCCAAATGTAAATTAAAAAAAGAATGAAATAATTAGGTTTTCCCCAGCCTCCCTCCTTTCATGGCAGCCTCAGGATTTTGGGGCTCTGACTCACGATCTCTGAATGCTGCAAGGCACTGCTTTGCTCCCAGCCTTCAGCAGCTGCCCTGCCCAAAACGTTGTTTTGAGGCTTTGGGCTGGGATTTATTTTTATTAACATCAAACCATCCACCCCTGGGCTATCTCCAGCTTGCAGCCTTTGGGGCTTTCTTGTGGCTGGAGGCTCCCAGCCAGGCCTCGAGGAGCCAGGAGCATCCCTGAGCTCTGGGGATGCAGGAGAGGACCAGGGAACCCCCCCTGCCCTCCCACAGCCTGAGACCACTTGTTCACCTTCCTCTGCCAAAGAACCATCGTGTGCTGAGAGCTGGAAGGCACCAGCCAGGTGGGATCTGAGGTTCAGGAGTATCAGTGTCAGGTGGGATATGGTTCATGGGGCAGCCCCAGCTGCCCCCCAGCTCCCCAGGCCCCTTTGCTGCCTGAGAGCTGCCTTGGGAGCAGAACAGGCTGCAGGGAAGTGAACCTGGAGAAAAATCTCTGGAACTCTGGGAGTGCCTGGGGTGCAGCAGCTCCAGATTCCCCCCAGGGCTCGGCTGCCCAAAGTTTGCAAAGGTCAGGGAAGAGCAGGCACAAAGCACCAGTGCGATCAGGAGCTGGGCTGGATCCCCTCTTCACTGAAACCAGTGTCACCAGTGTGGACCAGAGCCCATCCTCACTGAAACCAGTGTCACCAGCCCCAGCTGGAGCCATGGAAGCTGCTGCTCCTTTGGCTTTGTTCTCCTGCTCCAGGGGACCACAGCAAGGAGAACCATCCCCATGAGGAACCATCACCTCCTGCTGCCCCAGGGGCTCTGCCAGGGATGTTTTTCCAGGGGTAGACCTGAGAGCAGGGCTTCCATGGGAACATCAGCCAAGTGAGAGCAGCTCAGCACAAAGCCAAGCTTTGTCCCAGGAGAGGGCAGATGAAGGACAACAGCAAGCCCCAAAGCCAGCTTTGGATTGGGGGGACACAGCTGAGCCAGAGCCCCAAATCTGGAAGGGACTGAAACCTCCTTCATGGGAAGGGAGTCCTTAAATCCCTGGCGATTTCCCCAGGGGAGCCAGCTTGGGCTTCCAAAAATTCACCCTGGCCCCTTCCTGCCTCTCTTCGTGTCCTGTGTCCCCTGGGAGATGCTGGAGGTGCTGGTCCCACCCCACCACTGAAATACCCAGGCAAGCACCACTAAAGCTGGGCTCCAAACCCAGCTCAGGAGGAACTGGATGTGAAGCTATGGGCAGAAATCTGGCTGTCAGGGCAGGCAGCTGTGGCTGCGCCAGCCAAGCCTTCCTCAAAGCTTTCACTCCTTCCACTTCATTAATAAAAAGGGAAAAAATAAGAGACGGGGGCCTTGACAGAAAAAAAAAATACAGACTGTGTGTTTTAGAGCAGAGTTTCCTGTAACCACCTCTCTCCAGTTCCTTTTCATTCATTTTCTCCATTTTGTCAGTGTGGACCCAGGCAGGTCAAAGGTTTAAGCTTTTTTGGAAAGATTTGTTTCCAAAAAATAAAAGTTGGCTACTCTTCACATTTTGTTACCTTCACACCAGACAGGGAAATACACAGTCAGAGCTTAGGGTTGTTTTTTTTCCCTTTTTTCCCTTTTTTTTTAATGAAAGCATCTGGCCTCCATGACATGCTCTGAAGAAATATACCCCATATATTTTGCAACGTGTTAAAAAGCTGTGCTAGGCTGCTTCCTCCCAGAGTCTGGAATCACTTGGTTTTAGAGACAGGGGGATGCTCCTTCACCACCAACCCAGGGGGGAAAACTGGACTGTTACAAGGCAAATGGCAGAGTTTTCCCTGAGGTTTTGGGACGTTTCTTCTCCCTCTGTTGATTTATACAAATAGGATTGGCCCCACTGGGGCTCAGCCAGGCAGCTGAGACAGGCAGGTGAATGGGCAGGGGGTTATAGCTCCCAGGGCATGGAGGGAAGAGTGGGGAAAAAGGGAAAAGCTCAATGATTTGGCTAAAAAAGCTCTTTGTGGTTGTGCTGTGCCAGCCTGTGCAGAGCCTGGCCCCTTCCTGCTCTGCCAGCCAGACCATCCTCACCTGGGATTTCCCTCTGGTGGGAATTCCTCATCCCACAGCTGGCAAACACACCCAGGAGGGATGGGCAGGCCCTGCCTGGGGAAAGTATTTTCCTGGAAGCTGATTTTTAGCCCGATTCCAGGAAAGAGCAGAGGCTGGAGTGGTGGAGGGCTGAGGTTTCCTCAGTTCATGGCTACAGAGGAGGTTACACAGCATCAGCCATGGGCTTGGAAAACGTCATCATCATCATCATCACCACCATCATCATCATCACCTTGTGCAGGGATCATAGTTGTCCTCCCACCTCAGTCTGGCTGTGGGGGCTGGTGGTCTCCTAGTCCTCTGCCAGGACACTGGGAGATCTCCTTGGAGCCCAGTGCTGCCATTTAACACTTGCAGAGAGGTTTCTGTGACTCTGCCAGATGCAGAGCTGGAGAGCATCTCCCAAGCCTTTGGTGCTCTTGGAAGCTTTGCTGGGACCCTCAGATGCAGGACTGACTGCTCCTGTTCTTGGGGATGGCCTGGGGGCAGAATTTTGGGGCATCCACAACCCCTGGCTGCTGCAAAATCCCTCTTCCTCACACAACCCATTAGGTAAGGCTTGAAGCTGATTTTCTCCTCACCAGCCCGAACAGTAACGTGTTTTCCTCTCTTGCCTGTGTGTTGCTGTTTTCCAGCTGTCCAGATCCACGTCCTGAAAGCAGAGAAGAACGCGGACTGGTGGAAGTTCACGGTGAACATCATCTCTGTCTACAAACAAGGCAGCAACCGGATCCGGCGCGGAGACCAGACCCTGTGGATCCACTCCAAGGACATAGCCTGCAAGTGCCCCAAAATCAAGCCCATGAAGAAATATTTGCTGCTGGGCAACAACGAGGACTCCCCCGACCAGAGTGGCATCATTGCAGACAAAACCAGCCTGGTGATCCAGTGGCGGGACACGTGGGCCCGGCGGCTCCGGAAGTTCCAGCAGCGGGAGAAGAAGGGGAAGTGTAAGAAAGCCTAAAGGAGGAGGAGGAGAGGAGAGACTGACTGTGCATGCTGCTTTGTGTAGAGCTGGGGCGGGCAGGGACCGGCTGCCAGGGCGGGCTGGGGGGACAGGGGGACAGTGGCCACGGCTGGGGGGGACTGGGCTTGCAGCTCGTATTCCAGGGAAGACAAAACCCAACAGAACCCAACAGGACCCAAAAAAACCCAAGAAAACCCAAGAAAACCCAACAGAACCCAAGAAAACCCCAAGAAAACCCAACAGGATTCAACAAAACCCAACAGAACCCAACAGGACCAAACGAAACCCGATTGCACGCACGGACAGAACCCACGAGTGGCGTGCGGGCGTGCAGCACCTGGGGCCCCCCAGCTCTCTCCTGCCCCGTTGCTGAAGAACTCAGAGCCACCAAACTGCCTTCCAGCTGCCAACATCTGCTGCCTCCAAAGCACGGCATGGGCACATCCACCCTGTAAGAAACTAATCAACAGCACCGCTGGAAATTAACTCCCCATCCCCAAAATACGTATTTGCAACTTAGGCTGATGGAGACAGTTCTTGTAGAGGAAACTAAACCGAGACTTTTGCTGAGGACAGATCCGAGGATCGGCGGACGGGGTCTTGGAGGCCTTTGGTATCCGACAGCCGTGGCCACCACCCACTGATGGTGCCTGGGGCGGCCGAGGTCTCCAGCTGTGATGATGCTCTGGGCCCACAGTAGGCACAGCCACAAGGGGACAATGTTCATGGGTGACTTCTGCTGTGCATAACTCTGGGAATGGCTCCGTGCTCAGCCCCTGACCCTGAGGATGCTGCCCCCAGCACACTGAAGGAGTGTGAGCCCACAGCGTGCCCTGTCCCCCTCCAGCCACCCATTCACAGGTGAGGAGTCAGTAACCAGGATCCCCAAGGAAACACCCAGACCTGACAAAGAATGAGTCAGCGTCCAGTTCCCACAAAGTGCCCTGGAAGATCCTGCCAATCTCAGTTCCTGAATCTCCACTGTGGCCACCCCTGAACCTCCTCCATGGGCTTGGTCCCCTCTGCTGCTGTCAGCACACCAGGAACCCTCAGATGGTAGAAAAATCCCTGTAGGTGACACCAAGGTCCTGGCTGGTTTCACTCCCAGACTCGGGCAGCTCTCCCAAGCCCACAGCAGCTCTGCCCTCGCTCTCTCTGGAGCTGCATCCCCCTGAGACCCCTGTGAAAGGGCTTGGAGACAAAGTGGGGAGCAGAGGGTGCCAGGGACTGTCCCCATGGGCAGTGGGGCCAGTGCAAAGCTCTGAGGCTTGGCTGGAGTAGAGCCCACACAGGGCAGGGACCGGCCCAGGGAAGGGGTCTCAACCAGGAGCAAGATGTGACCCACCTGGAGCTCTCCTCCTTCTGCTGGGGGGAGAAAGAGCCAATTGAAAATTCCCAATTTCCAGTCATTTACGCACTGAGCACAGTGGAGGCTGCCTCACCTCAGGCTGGAGCATCTTCCCGGGGGCACCCTGCAGGCAGGACTGGCTCTGGAGCTGCCAGCTCCGTGCCAGGCTGCTCCCCTACCACACCAGCCCATGGGGAATGGGAATATCCAATTCCACCTCATCCATGGAGACCGGGAATAGCTGGGGCAGGAAGGCAGGGAGGGCAGGATGGTACCTGGAGGAGAAGCAAACATTAGTCGCTATGAAAAGCAAAACCTCCCCGATATTTTTCCTTTTAGGAAACTTGGAAACATCTCTTTTATGACATTTTCCAGTGGTTTTGCCTTGTTTTATAGCAATTGACAATATTTATATAATGACATAAACCACCATAAAGCAGGGCAGCCATGTAAATAGGTGCAAAGAGGAGGCTCCCAGGACTGTTGGAGACACCACCCAGAGGGATCCAGCTCTGCTGAGCCTCCCCTGCCACCACAAGGCCCCCAGAATTAATCTGGGTGTTAGGAGAAAAATTCAACCTTGCACATCAAGCAACTCCCCCCACACCTCCCCAGTCTGTGTTTTCTCCCCTTTCCCAAACTGGACTTGGTTTTTCTTATCTCAGAGCTCAAGGAGAGCTGATGGGTTTGCAGCCAAGGGAAGTGAAGCCACCAGGTTCTGAAGGATAAAATCTGACCTCAAGTGTCTAAATGGAGGCTTAAAGTCCTCAAATGGGGCTTGGATGCTCTCCTGCAGTCAGCTGCTGCCAGGGAGCCCCAAAGCTGGGGACAGCACATCCCCAGGGAACCGAGACGTCTCCAACCTTCAAATGGTGCCTAAAAGTAACAGAACCCAACCCAAAGCCAGTTCTCATGGAGAGCAGGAAGGAAAGGCCGGGGGACGTGGGGACTCAGGAACTGCCCATGGCAAACTTGGACACCCAACACTCCCAGTTTCCAGCCTTGTCAAGCACAGCCACCCTCCCCAGCACGGCCTGGACACCCCAAACCCCCCAGGGACACCCTCCAGCCCCTCCCCTGCTCCCACTCGTCCTGGAGGCTGCAGAAGACCCCCCACCCCTGAATCCCACGGCCAGACCCCTCCAGGCACTGACACAACCTGGGGACTCAGAGGGAAATGAGTTGGCACAACACCTGGATCCTGGCACAGGAGGGAAGTCCTCAGCCTGTCCCACCAGGACCTGTCCCTCCACTCCTGCTGGAGTTTTGTGCTTTCCAGTCAGACCAAGCAAAGCCCCTGACTCCACCCAGTGCCCTTCATGTGCTCCTGACCTGCAGGAGCTGCTGCTGGAACTGGTGCAACTGGAACAGCCTCTGCTGGCAGGGCAGAGCAGCCCCATTTCGGGGTCCAGAGGTGCAGCTCCTCCCTGCAGCCAGCCCTGCTCTAGGACATCTCCAGGAGGACAGCAAAGAACCCAGTGCCCACCCATCGCCCTGGGGACAGGAGTGGGGACCCCGAGGACAGTGGGGTGGCCAGAAAGGGGCTCTGGTGCCTGCAGAGGCTTCAGAGAGCAGCTGAAATGCCAAAACAATCATCACTGACCGTAGCACCCGACCGAAGTCGCTTGGTCTCGTTTCTGTTCGTTCCGTCGTGTCCGTGCCCCCTCCCTGCCCTGCCTCATCCCCTCACAAACCTGTGTTCGTTTTGGGGTTGTTTTTTTTTTGTCAAATCTTTTTTTTTTATTTTATTTTATTATTTCTGTTAATATCTTGAACTGTAAATGTTGTTTAGTTATGACCATGGCAGATTGCTTTGGGCGATGTTTCTTTACAATGCATACTAATATATTATGGTTATTATATATGAATATATTTAATGACACGTGAAAAAGTTGTGGATTTTCTTATTGTTTTTCCCAGTTGTTTCTTTTTTTTCCCTTTTTTTCTCCCCTTTTGTTTGTTTGTTCATTAGATCGGCTGTAATTCACCCGAAGGAGCTTGTAACTGTTCAGCACCCCCTCGGTAGAACTAAAGTCAGAAACCAGTTGAATAAACTCTTGTAAACTGTAAAAATATCCAGTAATTTCTGCTTTTTCCCACCCCATTGCTCAGTGAGCCTGTGGGACAAGGACCTGGGCAAGGAAGTGACGGTGTCCCCTCCACCCCCTAGCTGTCAGCCCTTTGTGACTGGCAGCCCCAGCCCTGTCACCCAGCACCCCCAGGCAGTGGCCACATGGCCTTGGGGACAGGGGTCACCGTGGGTGGGTGGCATGGGGGGTCCCCACCGGCCCCTGTGGGCTCAGCTGTGCCCTGCAGTGGGACCCCAGCCACAGCTGGGGGACAGGTGTGGGGACAGCCCAAGTTCAGAGTCAGGAAAGCTGCCAACCCCACTCTGGACCCATTTCTGTCCTGTCCAGAGGCTGCTCAGCAGTGCTGGCCCTTCCTGCCCATCCTCTGCAGGGCTCAGGGCTCCATCAGCTCCATCCCAGGATCAGCAGGGTCAGCGCTGCCGGAGCCCAGCCCAGGCAAGGACTGGTGGCACCGACACATGGAGAGATGGAGGTGGGGGGAACTGAGGCAGCAAAACATTTCCAGGGACAAAAATCCAAGCAAAAGGTGCTGCCAAGTGCTGGGGTCAGCCCAGTTGACCTGAGCCTTCTGCAGTGCCGGGAATTTATGAATCCAAAAACATCATAGGGGGTGGAAATCTCAGATCTTTATTGCAGAGACAAATGGGTCACAAGTGCCAGCCCTCTGCTCTGAGGGGCAAATGGGCTTCCCAGATTGCAGGTGGCCACTTGTCCAGAGGTGACACAGTGGCTCTGGAAAGAGGGGGATGAGGTTTTTCCCACGGAGGGCTGGACCTGGAGTGGTTTTCCCAGCTTGGTCCCACAGGCAGCAGTGTGGGAGAGGAGCCATCCATGCACTGAGCTCACACCAGGAATCAGGGCATGTGAAAATGCCCAGCATTTGATGATCCCTGTTCTCATGCAGGAGGTGGGGATTTTTCCCAGGGCACTGGGACATCCCTGTTGCACACACCAGACCTGCCCCCAGCCCTGGGAGTTTTGATGAAACTATAGCTGGAAGCAGCTGAACTCCTGAGCACGTCCTGCAGCAGAGAAATGGAGGAGGTGGCAGGGAAGGCGACACCTGGGGTGTCTCTGGGCACATTCCAGGAGGTTCTTTGCTTGCAGAAGCCACTCCAGGTTGGCTTCTCCACCGCCGCTGCTCAGAGCCAAACCCCGGCGTCTCTCGTATTTTAACCTTCCTTTTTCTTTAGTGGGGCAGGGAGACAGAAAAGCTTCCCTGCACACAGCAGAGCGCTGCCAAATCCACTGCTTTTTAATAAAATTCCTCACCCACACCACACTTTAAATGTTACCTAAAGGGCAAGGCTGAGAACCTCTTTGTTCTCCAGCACAACGAGCAATCCTGGAGTTTCCATCCTTCCCAGGCGCTCACAGGAAAAATGTGTTGGAGGACCCAGCGGGTCAGAAGGGACCTTTGAAAACCTCGGCCAGAACAAAGTCCCTGTGGAACGTTGATCAGGATGAGCAACACGTCCATCCTGCGTGTCCTGGGAATTCAAACAAAGCCGGAATTCCCTCCAGAACTGACAGCTTTAATTAGCCCAGGCCCATGGTCTCATCTGAACAAACCCTGCTGCTCTC